CTATATAGGGGCAGGGGCGGGGCCACAGGGGACTTCCGGACCCAGACACTGACTGGCAGCTTTGCTAACCTATCAGCCAAGTCCCTGCCCCTTCCTCTAGTAACTCAGCCACGCCCATCGCCTGGGGGCGGGTCTTCCCTTCCTGGGGGATTCAGCCACGCCCATCACCTGGGGGCGGGGCTTCCCTTCCTCTAGGCACTCAGGCACACCCATCACCTGGGGGCGGGACTTCCCCTCCTCCGGGGACTTAGCCACGCCCATCACCTGGGAGGCGGGACTTACCCATCCCCTACCCTGAAGACAAGATGCCAGATCCTTCCAGCCATCAAGTGACCAAGATGGTGCCAGGCAGAGCCAATGGCCGGATTCCATAACCACGCCAACCACAGCTTCCCCTCCAGCCTCTGTTTTGTTTTTTTTTTTTTTCTGGCGTTGTTAGCTAATCGGAAATAGCAGTCTGGTGGACTTTCCTGCTCCCGCAGGGGCTGGCTTGGAAGCACAGGCCTCAGATGGCAGCCTCCTGGGCCGCTGGGGCCTGGATAACGGGGGGGTGGTGGTGGTGGTGGTTACAGTGGATCAAGCAAAAGCGCCATGATGGCAGCATGGTAGTGGAGTGGGCCGGGGCAGTGAGACCACCCAGTGAAGAGGTAAAGGACTTCATTGAGTGAACAGTGCTGACGCTGGCGTTGGGGGTCCCAGGAAGCGGCGAGGGCCAGCCCATGGCAGCTTGTAAGCATTTGGGGCCATGGCCGGGAAAGGGGGTGCCCGGGTGTTGGTTTTAGCCAATGATTGTTACAAGAAATGCGCACCTTAAGTTTAAATTTCCCACCGCGGTTTTGCTGGCAGGAGAATAGAACGAAGGGTGGTGATGTCTCATCTGGATTAGGGCTAGCATGGCTCAGAAAACAGCAGAAGCAGAGCTAGAGTTACACAGTTACAGAGTTCCAATGACAGTTACTAGCTAAAATAGCTAGTTGCCAGGAAAGTCTTATCCGCAGCACACTTACGTTTATATCTTAAAATCATTATCCGTTTTACACAATCCCGTCAAATATCATTTTCCATCTTTACATCCTCCACCATATCAATAGGACAAAACCAGTACCCAAGGCCTACTCTCTAGGGCCCGGCAGAAGCCACCTAGATTGCCAGGCCGTGAGCAAGAAGGGCTGGAGGTCCGCACACCATGGCCTGAGCCTCTGTTAGTCACCAGGCTTGATGACTGGTAACCAGAGAACAACCCAGTATTAAGTACCCCAGGGAAAGGGCTGAGGAAAGAAGAGGAGACCACTGTTAGCATTATGCCCACCTTTGGCCCTCACCTCCAACCATACCTGAGCTCCTCCCTTGCCTTCCTTCCAACCACTGACTAAGCCATATTTAGACAAAGTCTCTTTCTGTTCTTGTTGGTAGTGGTGGTGGTTTGGTTTGGTTTTGTGCCAATCCTGGGCCTTGAACTCAGAGCCTGGGCACTGTCCCTGATCTTTTTTTTTTTTTTTTCCCTCAAGGTTAGCACTTTACCACTTTTAAGAAAAAAAAAAATTGACTGGGTTTTTGGAGACAAGAGTCTCACAGACTTTACTGCCCAGGCTGGTTTCAAACCCAGATCCTTGGATCCCAGCCTCCTGAGTCACTAGGGTGACTGCCACGAACCCACTAGGCACCTGCTCAAAGACTCTTTCTGAAACTGGGAGAAATGAGACAATAATGGAGGCGATCTTACTCAGCACCCAAAGCTCATCATTTTACTAGCTGGATGGCTGTGTGGGCAAGTTACTTTAATTCTCTATGCCTTGGGTCTTTCATCTGAGAAAAGATAAGAATATCCATCCATCTCAGGATTGTTACAAGGCTGGGGGGAAAAAAAGCACTGAAGACTGATTACATTGATGTTCTTAGAACTGTGTAGTTAATGCCCTGCCAGTCCCATTTTTCTGCTGAAGGCTGTAACTGGACGGCAAGTGCAAAGGCCCTGGGGCATAAACAATGCCATGAGGCCAGGATGGCTGAGAGAGAGAAAGCAGAGAGGGAGTAGAACTGGAGTTCTTCTCAGAAAGGTGATGGACGGAGGGACTGTCCAGATCATCGAGGCCAATCAGAGCCTCAATTCAGTTAGCCAATCCACTCACCTGACAGATGACTGGTTGTCCAATCAGCTGTCAAGGACCAGACTGAGGGGAGTCTGTTGGGTGGGTACATGGGAGGAGTGGATGAAGAAGGAGAGCTCCCAGGTTCCTGTGTTCCTCTCAGACTCGCTGCAGCTGTGCAGACTCGGTGCAGGCCTATTTCTGTGTCAAGCGGGAAATTAAGCAAAATTTAATACTCACCCAGTGGCCAAGCTCCGAGGATCTCAGCATGAAGCCAGCTTGGGCAGACACATCTGAGACTCCTATCTGCAATTAGCCAGCAAAAACAAAACAAAAAAAGCCAGAAGCAAGAGGCAGATGGCTAGCATCTGTAATCCTAGCTGCTCAGGAGGCTGAGATCTGAGGATCGTGCTTCAAAGCCAGCCCAGGCAGGAAAGTCCATGAGACTCTGATCGCCAATAAACCATCAGGAAACTGGAAGTGGCACAGTGGCTCTCGCGATAGAGTGCTGACCTTGAGCAGAGAAAGCTCAGGGACAACGCCCAGGCCCAAAGTTCAAGACCCACAGCTGACAAAACAAAAAAAAAGCCAGAAGTGGAGCAGAGGGTCAAGTTAACAGAGCCCCAGAGCCCAGCGTGAAGCAGAAGAGCCAAGTGAGGGTCAAGGCCCTGAGTTTAAGCCCCAGTACTGATCACAGATTTGCAGTTCAAAGCCAGCCCAAGCCAGAGAGTTCACCCAACTCTGACCTCCAGTTAACCAGAAAAAAAAAAAGGAAGTAGAGGTGTGTGGCCCAAGTGGTAGACTACCAGCCTTGAACAGAAAAGCTACACGTGAGCAAGGAAGCCCAGAGTTCCAGCCCCAGTGCCAGCGCGCGCGCACGCACACACACACACACACACACGGCACATAACTACCATTAATACTAATACATCAGCAGGTCATCGTGAGGATTTAGGCCTCTGTCATTCTCATTGTCTGTGGCTAGTGTGATTGCATAAAGCCGCCTGTGTGCTCTGGGGTGCCTGAGGGGCTCCCCTTTCCCTTCTCTGGAAAAGAGCATGAATAGGAGATGCCCACAGGCAGGTAGAGCCAACTGGGTGGAGTGTCTGGCTACCAGGGACACCAGCAACCCCTTACCCCCCCCCAGAAGATTTATCAGTGGAGTCTTTGTCTCAGGGAGAAGCAGATCAGCAGCCAGAAGGAGCTAATCAAATTTCCTAATCTCATAAGAGACATCATTGCATTGTGTTATTCATGTCAGGAGGAATCCACATTCAAACACTTCATTATGGGGGGATAAGGGGGTGCCCTGACTTATTTAACCCTTTCTCCTGTCCATAGAGCCCCATGGATAACCTTAGAAAGGTTAGCAAGGCCCTGGCAGGGTCATGTGCAAAGTTAAAGCAATTAGCAAACCAAGATGGCAACATGGGGGAAGTCACAGCCCCCATGTGGCAACACTGCAGTGTGAGGCTCTGATCTACAAAGGCTCCACCCGCAGGTCTTTGATCTTCCCTTGTCAACCTAGCAAGAGCAGGGCAGAGCCGAGCATCTAACCAGAGCCTCCCGCCTGCAGCGGCCACTGCCCCGTGAGCAGAAGTGAGATCCACCCTCCGTCCTGCTGCTACGTACGGCAGTGTGGTAGTTGGGACCATGATGATAAGGCGGATGAATGTGTTTGATGTCTTGTGTGGATCCACATGCATGACTGGGACCATGTACCCAAGTGAGGTCACTTAGAAGAAGAAACCTTTATTTCCCTGATGGCTTCTGAGACAGTCATCTGCAGAGGGAGAGGGAGTAGCTTGTTTTATGGCAGCCAGGAAGAGGGGGGAGAGATAGAGAAAGAGAAAGGGGGAATAAATAGGGTACATAGGTAGATGAAACTACATAGATAAGGTGGGTAGATAGATACTTGACAGGTTTGATAGACAGATAGACGGATGGATGGATAGATAGATAGATAGATAGATAGATAGATAGATAGATAGATAGATAGATAGATAGATAGATAATAGGTAAGTTAGACAGATGATAGGTAAGCTAGACACTGGGGTCCGTGGTAGGTAGATGATGAATGAGATAGGCAGACGTACAGATTGACGATATGCCAGATAACAGATAAGACAGATAGTCAAAGGTAGATAAGTAGGTAGATAGATGATAGATAAGATAGATGATTGAGTAAAGGAATGGTAGGTAGAGGGGGAGTAGAATTGGAGTTCTTCTCGGAAAGGTGATGGATGGAGGGACTGTCCAGATCATCGAGGCCAATCAGAGCCTCAATTCAGTTAGCCAATCCACTCACCTGACGGATGACTGCTTGTCCAATCAGCTGGCAAGGACCAGACTGAGGGGAGTCTGTTGGGTGGGCGCGTGGGCGGAGTGGATGAAGGAGGGCTCCCAGGTGATAGATAGGTGACAGGGAAGACGGACAGACAGATCGATAGAGGGTAGGTAGGTAGATGATAGATCAGACAGACAGAGAGATACAAAGCTAAGGCAGGTCAGTGGGCAGGTAGAGAGCTGGTAGAAGAGACGGCGGATGGATGGTGGATGGGTTTCAGATGCTGCCGCTCTCGGCTTTGCCTCTTTCCCTTCCTTCCACCTTGCAAAAGCTGCAGAGCTGTCCTGCCACACGCTGGGCAGCTGAATGACTCCCGCAGCCCCTGCCCAGGTGCTGGCCGGACAGGCTCTCTTGTCTGGGGGGAGCACGTCCTTGGTTCTGGGGGCCCCTAAGCAACCCTGCCAGCCCCCTCCCTCAGTCCCCTCAGGTGTCTTCCCTGGCCCTGCCATTTTAGTGAATGTGTGTCAGTACTAGTGCTCGAACTCAGGACCTCGAATTCCCCCTGCCCTTTCTCAGCTTAAGGCAGACACTCTCCCACTCAAGTCCCACCTCCATTTCTGGCTTTTTGCTGGTTTTCATTGGCTGTGTCTACTTGGACCGGAGATGCTCAGATCGTAGCCTCCCTTGGTAGCTAGGATGACAGAGAGCGCCAAGAGAATTTAAAATGAGTTCCACCATTCCCTGTCCAAGAATCTCACTTTCTAAAATCATTACACACGTGCATCGAAACATACTGCCAAAGATTTCACGCCCTGAAACAAGGCATCTGATCTGTAAGGATATTCACAGTAATTACAATCACATGCCAATCCGAATGGCTACAAGACAGGACAAAGAGAATGCGGTGTTCCTACAAGGACAATCAGCCGGGCATCGTAGCTCACTCTGGTCATCCCAGCTACTCAGGAAGCTGACATCTGAGGATCATAGTTCAAAACCCAGCCTGGACAGGAAAAAAGTCTGTGAGAGTCAGGTGCCGATGGCTCACGCCTGTCATCCTAGAGACTGAGATCTGAAGATCACAGTTCAAAGCCAGCCCAGGCAGGAAAGTCTGTGAGACTCTGATCTCCAAAGAACCACCAGAAAACCGGAAGTGGCGCTGTGGCTCAAGTGGTAGAGCGCTCACCTTCAGCTGAAGAGCTCAGGGATAGCGCCCAGGCCCAGAGTTCAAGCCCCATGACCAACCAGAAACAAAAAGGTCTGAGAGTTGTATCTCCAACGAGCCCCCAAAGAGCCACAAGTGGGGAACACGATCCTGGAGTGGGATGGGGAAAACAATGAATGGACAGTGCCCAGGCTCTGAGTTCAAGTCCCAGAACCAGCGCACGCGCACACACACACACACACACACACACACTGCAGGCGAGGCCACCTCCTTGAGCTCACATGTATGTCCTGATTATCCCCCTCAAGACCACACCATCAGAAGATCCAGGTGGAGCCCAGATGCTGACACCCCAAACTCCATGTGTAGATGGATTTGAGCCGCCAGGGGCAAGACAGCGAGCCCTCAGTACAGTCAGTGTCCTCACCAGCGCTCTGGAAGGTCAGTACCCTCCCTCCCCCCACACACACCAACCTCCCTCTGGCCATCCTCACCTCCAGCCCAGCCTACTCAGGGACCTCCCTCCCCCACCCCCAATCTCTCTCAGCTTCCTTGAACCTCCCAACCATCCCAGTTTTCTCTGTCTTCTCGATGTAATCCTAATGAATATTCTTGCCTGCCTGTAAGGGATCATTTCTTCTGGTTCAACTGGCTCTTTTGTTGTTGTTGCTATTACTGCTGCTGTTGGTCCTGGGACTTGAACTCAGGGCCTGGGAGTTGTCCTCAAGATTTACTGCTCAAGGCTGGCACACTACTACTTGGAACCACAGCCCTACTTCTGGTTTTCTGGTGGTTCCTAGGAGATAAGAGTCTCACTGACTTTCCTTGGCCCAGGTTGGCTTGGAACTGTGATCCTCCTGATCTCAGCCTCCTGAGTAGCTAGGATGACAGGTGTTTCTCTCAAACACTTCCAATGCCCTGTCCTGCCTCAGGGCTCTGAGCTGTACTTCCCTCTTCTCCCAAACATACCCATGTCTGCCTTGGCTGTCTTCTCTTTAAAAACTTTCCTGTCCACTTACCATCTTCCTTCCTGAAGGTCCTAGTTGGGAATATTTCCAATGAGATTCCATCTGGTCAGTTTCCTCCACCTCCATCTTGATTTCCCTTCTCCCATAGTTCCACAGTAAAAAGGACTGAGACATAGTCAGGCGCTGGTGGCTCTCGCCCGTCATCCTAGCCACTCAGGAAGCTGAGATCTGAGGATCGTGGTTCAAAGCCAACCTGGGCAGGAAAGTCCATGGGACTCTCATCTCCAGTAAGCCACCAGAAAACCAAAGTGGCGCTGTGGCTCAAGTGGTAGAGCACCAGCCTTGAGCAAAAGAGTCATGTAGCTCCCCAGGCAAGGCCTAAGCTCTTTCTAGAATACCCCTAGACTTACATGACCCTGTCTACAAACCCAACTAACCCCCCCGCCCCCCCGGCTGCCCCCAGAGTTGGAAGAATCCCACCGCAAGTGTCCACCATGTTGGAACCGCTTCGCTGAACGCTACCTGATCTGGGAGTGCTGCCCACTGTGGCTGTCCATCAAGGACAAGGTGAAGTTCGTGGTCATGGACCCCTTTGCCGACCTCACCATCACCATGTGCATCGTCCTCAACACACTCTTCATGGCGCTGGAGCACTACAACATGACCACTGAATTTGAGGAGATGCTGCAGGTCGGAAATCTGGTAAGAAATCATGGTTTGAAGCTGGGCACTGGTGGCTCACACCTGTCATCCTAGCGACTCGGGAGACTGAGAGTCCGTGAGAACTCTTACCTTCAGTGAACCATCAGGAAGTCAGATGGAGAGCTGCGGCTCAAGTGGTCAAGCACCAGCCTTGAGTGGAAAAGTTCAGGGACAGTGCCCTGGCCCTAGATTCAAAACCCAGAACCAGAAAAAAAAAAAAAAAAGACATGAGTTGAGGGTAAGCCTGAATGTATGGAGAGGGAAGATCTTGCCATGAGTAGATGGAGAAGTAAGTGAATGAAGAAAGGAACTGTGTTTGTATGGCCAGAGTTGTGTACGACCACCAATGGGTGTATTGTTGGATGAAGAAAGGATGGATGGATGGTTGGATGGATGAATGGATGATTAAATGGACGCAGGAAAGGTTAGATTGTTGGATGGATAACTGAATTGAGAGGAAAGGATGGAAGAAAAGGTGAGGGATGGAAGAAAAGATGAGGGATGGGTAGATGGATGGATGGAGAAATGGACAGGTGAAGAGATGGATGAGTGGATGAATAAATTCAGGGAGGAAAAGTCAGATTGCTGGATCGATAATTGAATAGAAGGGATGGAAGAAGAGAGAAGGGTGGATGGGCAGATAGATGAATGGATAGATGGATGGATGAGGAGTAATTAATAGGTTGATGGAGAAATGAATAGATGGAGAGATGGAGAATAATGGATGGATGGATGGATAAACAGGGAGGAAATGTTAGATCACTGGATGGATAATTGAATAGAAAGAAGGGATGGAAGAAAAAATGAGAGATGGGTGGGTGGATGGATAGATAGATTAATGAAGATATGAATAGTTAAATGGAATGATTAAATGGAAGGAAGAGATGCTATATTGCTGGATGGATAATTCAGAGAAGGGATGGAAGAAAAGACGAAAGATGGGTTGGTTGTTGAGATGGATGGATGATGGATGGATAAATGGAGAAATTGATGGAGAGATTAATAGATGGATGGATGATTAAATGGAGGAAGGAAAGATTAAATTGTTGGATGGATACTTGAAAAGAAGTAATGATGGAAAATATGAGGGGTGGATGGATGGGTGGATGGATGGATGGATGATTAAATGGAGGGAGGAAAGCTAGATAGTTGGATGTCTACTTGAATAGAGAGAGTAAGGGATGGAAGAAAAAATGTGAGATAGATTTGAGGATGGATAAATGGATGGATGGATGGAGAAATTGATGTATGAGTAGAAAGAACGATGGCTGGATGAACAATTAAATGGAGGAAGGAAAGACTAGATTGTTGGATGGAATATTTAGAAGGAAGAAGGGAGGAGGGAAAGGATGAGAGATGGGTAGATGGTTGGATGAATGGATGGATGGATGGACAAATGGATGGAGATGGAAAGTGAATAAATCATACTCATATTGAGTCCGCTGTTACTAACCTGAGATCTCAAACAAATTGCTGAGCATTGGTAATTGGCACAGTAAATATTTGTTGAATCTAATAAGTGTAAAATTAGTGTGACCATATCAACCTCATAGGAAGCTAATTAGGACTGAACAAGATAATGTGTGTCATGCATTTGGCTCAGATAAACAATCTTCACTCCAAACGAATGATAGCTGTGGTTTTAATTGTTATTAAAGAGACTGACCCTAGAAGTCACAATGTCTGCATTAAAAATTCTGACTTTGGGGCTGGGAAGGTGGCTCAGTGGTAGAGAGCTTGCCTTGCATGCATGAGGCCCTGGGTTCGATTCCTCAGCACCACATAAGCAGAAAAAAAAAAAAGCCGGAAGTGGCGCTGTGGCTCAAGTGGTAGAGCACTAGCCTTGAGCTGAAGAGCTGAGGGACAGGACCCAGGCCCAGAGTTCAGGCCCATGACCGGACCCCCCCCAAAAAATTCTGACTTTACCAGATGCTGGTAGTGCACCCCATAATCCTAACTACTGCAGGGAGGAGGCTGAGATCTGAGAATCATGGTTGAAAATCAGCCTGGGCAGGAAAGTCCATGAGACTCTTCTCTCTAACGAGCCACCAGAACTGGAGGCAACACTCAGAACCATAGAGTGCCAGCCTCGATTGAAAATGCCAAGCAAGAGAACCTGGCCCTGAGTTCAAGCCCAAGTACTGGAACCAAGAGAAAAAAAAGAAAACAAGAATACACGAGAAGCACTTTAGCCCGGCGCTTAACACATTATCAACCTAGGAGAAATGGTGGCTGGTTGTTAATTCTGTGGAGAAAGTTGAGCTGTGGGCAAGAGAGAGGGCATTCGGGCCAATAGGAACTGCAGGGTCCAAGGTCAAAGGCCACAGGGTCAAACACTAGGAAGTGTTTTGTGGGTGGAGATGCTTGGCTTTTTGCAGGTGTGGCCCTTCACACTTCTGGGCTCAGGAGGTTATCCCAGAGGTGGGATCTCTATCTAGAGCCTCCGTGGGTCCCATCATGCCCTGCTAAGGCAAAGAATTGGGAAACAGGATGTCCTTGCTTGACCAGTCCTTTACAGCCTCCACTTCCGGTACCTGTCGATCGATGGATTGGTTGATTGACCGGTTACTCCTCCTTCAGGTCTTCACCGGGATCTTCACAGCAGAGATGACCTTCAAGATCATCGCCCTTGACCCCTACTATTACTTTCAGCAGGGCTGGAACATCTTCGACAGCATCATCGTCACCCTCAGCCTCATGGAGCTGGGCCTCTCCAGGATGGGCAACCTATCCGTGCTGCGTTCCTTCCGCCTGGTACCTGCCCGCCCCGAGGCTGTGGGGCAGGGAGGGGAACGAGGAGGGGTGTGGGCTGGGCAACACCCCCTCCAAGATCACCTCTGCTGCTTTGATCACTTGTACCTTCACCCAAAAGCCACTTTTTAAAAATTCCAGTTCTGGGACTTGAACTCAGGGTCTGGGCCACTATCCCCAGAGCTACTTATTTTTAGTTATTTATTTTTTGCTCAAGGCTAATACGCTACTGCTAATACTGTACCAGGACACCTTATCGCTAACATACTACCGCCAACACCCTACCGCTAATACTCTACCACTAAAGAACAGTACCCAGGCTTTGAATTCCATCTCTTGGACTGGCATGTAAATAAATAGATAAATACATAACTGCATACATAATCGCATGCATGCATTACAAAGATAAATACATAAAATTAATGCATGCATGCATATATAAGATAAATATATAATTGAATACGTTAATGCATGCAGCGTAAATACATAAAATAAACGCATGCATGCATACATACATAACTAAATGCACAGACATGAAACATGCACGAATACATAAAATGCACACGTATGCATATATTTACAAGCATGCATACATAAATACATGCATGCATACATAAATGCACACTTAAGTACATACATGAAATGTAACAGAAATGCATAAAATACATGCATGCAGTGTACATAAATACATGCATGCATGCATACATACATAAATGCATGCATGCATACATAAATGCACACTTAAATACATGAAATGTAATAGAAATGTGTAAAATACATGCATGCAATGTATATAAATATATGCATGCGTAAGTACATAAAACGTGCAGTATACATAAATATAAAATATGTACACATACATGAAACGCATAAATGCATGCAGCACACATACTCCAACATGCATAAATACATGTGTAAACACATGAATACATAAAACAAATACGCCCATGCAATACACATAAATACATAAGATAAATGCTTACATACATAAATGCAGATATGTACATAAATACATAAATATGTGCAGCACACATAAATACATACCACAACGTGCATGCATACATTCGTGCACATGTAAATACATAAATACACGCATACATAAATGCACAGATGTGTATAAATAAAATAAATGCACGCATGCAACACACGTGAGTCCCTGTGTAAATGCATCCAATAAGGGCCCTCGTGGGTCCCCTGGTGGAACCAGCCCCCCACCTTTCCCCCCTCTAGCTGCGGGTCTTCAAGCTGGCCAAGTCCTGGCCCACCCTGAACACACTCATCAAGATCATCGGGAACTCGGTGGGTGCGCTGGGCAACCTGACTCTGGTGCTGGCCATCATCGTGTTCATCTTCGCCGTGGTGGGCATGCAGCTCTTCGGCAAGAACTACTCGGAGCTCAGCCACCGCATCAGTGACCCAGGCTTCCTGCCCCGCTGGCACATGATGGATTTCTTCCATGCCTTCCTCATCATCTTCCGCATCCTGTGTGGAGAGTGGATCGAGACCATGTGGGACTGCATGGAAGTCTCAGGCCAGTCCCTGTGTCTGCTGGTCTTCTTGCTCGTGATGGTGATCGGAAATCTTGTGGTAAGTCACCAGTCTGTCCATCCATCCACCCACCCACCCATCCATCCATCCATCCACCCACCCACCCATCCATCCATCCATCCATCTATTCACCCATCCACCCACCCATCTATCCACCCATCCATCCATCCATCCATCTATCCACCCATCCATCCATCCACCCACCCACTCACCCATCAATCCATCCATCTATCCACCCATCCATTCATCCACCCACACATACATCCACCCATACATACATACATTCATTTACTGTGCATGTGGTGCTGGTACTGGGGCTTGAACTCAGGGCCTGGGGATCTGTCCCCGAGCTTTTAATTTTTTGCTCAAGGCTGGTGCTCTACCCCTTGAGCCACAGCTACACATCTGGCTCTTTTTGCTGATTCTTTGGAGTTGAGAGTCTTGCAAACTCCTACTCCATGCTGGCTTTGAACCCGGATCTCCTAGAGCTCAGCCTCTTGAGTAGCTGGGTGACAGGTGCCAGCCACCAGCGCTGGGCCATTGTTATGGTCTTGGGGGTTGTGAGCAGAACACGAGGGTCCCATCAGCCCCATTGTTTTCAGATCCACTCTTCCAGCTGTGGATGGGAGATTCCTGAACATTCTCTTCCCATTTGTCTCATTCCCTCACAAGGCTAGGCCAGCCACACTGAAGTGGGGATTAGGGAAAAGTGGGGACGCAATCTCCCTCGCTCACCCAATTCCCAACCCAGAGCCCATAGTAAAAACAAAAACAGGACACAGAGCTGGGAAGGTGGCTCAGTGGTAGAGTGCTCACCTAGCACGCACAAAGCCCTTGGTTCGATTCCTCAGCATCTCATACATAGAAAAAGCCGGAAGTGGCTCTGTGGCTCAAATGGTAGAGCTCAGGGACAGCACCCAGGCCCTGAGTTTGAGCCCAGGACTGGCAATATTACTACTACTACTAATAATAATAGTTATGCATAATACCAGTGGCCCCATTTCTATGGCCCCTCAACTCCACGCTCCAGCACCCCCCTCCTTGTCTAGCTGTAAGAAGAAAATTGGGCCTACCCCTCAGCCCCAGAACCCAAGCTCAGCAAAGCCCCCCCCCACCTCCCCTCAAGCCCCCCTGGCCTCCCAGCCTCCCCCCCTCCCTCCCTCCCTCCCCCCTGCCCTCCTTCCCCCAGCCCACAAGAGCCTGGAATCCGCCTGGAAGTGGAGATGATTAGAGGCAAGGAAGGAAGAGAGGAAACTAATGCCAGCCCACACACAGCCCCTCCCTCCCAAGCTGTCATAGGAACTGGGCTCTGCTGCGGCGGCTGGGCAGGCCGGCGGCGTGGGCGGCAGGCGCTGGAACGGGGAAGAGAGATTCAGGCAGGCAGGGAACCCGATGTGATTGAAAGGGGGAAAGAAATTAAATACACAAAAGAAGAACAAGGGGGGGGGAGAAAAAAACATGCTGGAAGCTGTTGAATTCAGAAGGCAGCTGACACGGAGGACCCGTGGGGGTCCTGTGTGGGTGGACAAACTCTCCCGGGGACTCCCTTGTCTGAATCTCCAAGCACACACACACAGAGGTGGGCGTGGGTTGGACCCCCCCACCCCCCTGTGGGAGAAAGATCACAGTTAGGCAGTAGAAGCTGGCCGGGAGGGAGATCCATGGATGGAGGCCAGGGGCCAGGGCAGGCAGGGGTCAGTTCTGATTCATCATCCAATGGCATTCACTGACCACAGGATAAACCATTGGGGAGGGCGGGGGAGAGGGGGTCTGAAGTCCCAGGAACTGCCTGTCATCCCACAGCTACTCAGGAAGAGGCTGAGGTCCAGAGGAAAGCCAAGCCCCAAGGCAAGGAAAATCCAAGAGACTCTGATCTGCAGGGAACCACCAGCAAACCGGAAGTGGCGCCATATATATATATATATATGGCTCAAAGTGGTGCAGTGCCAACCATGAGCAAAAAAGCAGCTCAGGGGACAGCACCCAGCTCCCAGAGTTCAAGCCCCAGGACTGACCAAAAAGAAAAAAACAAATGAAACTTGTGCTCACTCCACCCCTTTGCTCCATTCTTCCCAAGGCAGCCCGAAGGGAGAGGCCACTGGCTCTAGGATAGGATTCTGCCCAGCCTCCCTGTGTGACCTTGGATGTGACCTTGGTGGCACCTTATCCCCCATCTGTTTATTTCTGGGCATTAGGTACATCACGACTCTCCCACTGAACTTTAGCAACCGGGCCTGAAGATGCCGATTTTGGTCTGTCTGAGCCCTTGGGAAAAGGGATTGAATCTGTCTTTCTTCTCCTCCTCCTTCTCCTTCTCTTTTATACACAAACACTAGATTCAAGAGGAGAAAGAAGAGTCAGGCTGCAATGCTTCACCTGACACCCTAGCTCCTCAGGAAGAAGCTGAGATCTGACGCCAACAGTTCTAAGCCAACCCAGGCAGGAAAGTCTGTGAGACTCTTATCTCCAATGAACCAGCAAAAAATAAAGCCAGAAGTGGAGGTGTGGCTCAAATGGTAGAGTGCCAGGTCTGGAGCAAAAAAGCCAGGCAATAGAAGCCAGGAGACTAGTGGCTCACACCTATAAACTAGGCTGAGATGTAAGGATCCAGGTTCCAAGCCAACCTAGGCAGAAAAGTCCATGAGGCTCATCTCCAGCGAATCAGCAAAAAGTCAGAAAGGGAGGTATAGCTCAAGTGGTAGAGCACCAGTCTTGAGTGGGAAAAAAAAACAAGCAAGGATGAAAGACCCTTAATTCAAGCTCCAGTACAAGCACGTGTGCACGCACGCACACGCACACACACACACACACACACACACACACACACACACACACTGCCCAGCATTGATGACTCTCACGCCTATAAACTAGCTAGTCAGGAGGCTGAGATGTAAGGATCGAAGTTTGAAGTCAGCTAAGACAGAAATGTTCCTGAGGCTCTTAACTCCAGATAACCAGCAAAAAGTAGAGGCATGGCTCAAATGGTTGAGCACCAGCTTTGAGCAGTAAAGCCAAGGGAGAATAAGAGATGCTAAGATCAAGCCCCAGTAAAACCTGGCTCATTTATTTCTTTTTGACAGTCATGAGCCTTGAACTCAGAGCCTGGGCACTGTCCCTGAGCTTCTTTTGCTCAAGGCTAGTGCTCTACCAACCTTGAGCCGTGTGTGTGTGTGTGTGTGTGTGTGTGTGTGTGTGTGTGTGTATAGCCATTTCTGGCTCTCTGGAGACAAGAGTCTCATGGACTTTCCTGCCCTGGCTGGCTTTGAACTGTGATCCTCAGATCTCAACCTCCTAAGTAGCTGGGATGACAAACCTGAACCACTAGCATCTTGGCTCACCCTAGAACTATTTTTTAAAATCCTCCTCTCTTCTCTCTTGTCCCCTGCACCCTGTTGTTTTGTTTGTGTGTTTTTGGTACCAGTCCTGGGGCTTGAACTCAGGACCTGGGCGCTATCCCTGAGCTGCTTTTTGCTCAAGGCTGGCACTCTACCACTTGAGCCACAGCGCCACTTCTGCCTTTTTCCTGTGTATGTGGTACTGAGGAATCGAACCCGGGGACTTCATGCATGCTAGGCAAGCACTCTACCACTGAGCCACCTTCCCAGCCCTTCCTGCAGCACCTCCATGAGCCAGACACCGTTGCCTCGTTCGCCCCCCCCCCCAGGTGCTGAATCTCTTCCTGGCCTTGCTGCTCAGCTCCTTCAGCGCAGACAACCTCACGGCCCCAGATGAAGACGGGGAGATGAACAACCTGCAGCTGGCCCTGGCCCGCATCCAGAGGGGCCTGCGCTTCGTCAAGAGGACCACCTGGGACTTCTGCTGCAGGCTCCTGCGGAGACCCAAGAAGCCGGTGATCCTCACCCCCCGCAGCCAGCTGGCCAGCTGCTTGGCCAGCCCCAGCCCGCCAGCGCCCCCCGAGACCGAGAAGCCACCCCCCGCCCGCAAGGAAACCCGGTTTGAAGAAGCTGCACGGCCAGGCCAGGGTGGCACCCCTGGGGACTTGGGGCCTGTGTGCGTGCCCATTGCTGTGGCCGAGTCGGACACCGATGATCAGGAAGAGGAAGAGGAGGAGGAAGAGGAGGAGGAGGAGGAGGAGGAGGAGGAAGAAGACAGTCGGGGTACTGAGGACGAATCCAGCAAACAGGTAAGAGCCTCTGCCTCACAGCTCTGCTTGGACAGAGTCTACAGCTCTGGTATCCAGAAGATTCCAGCCTCATTGGAGGGGGGAAGAGGGAAGGGTCCCCCACACTGCCTCAGGATGAGTGTGGGGGGTGAATAAAATATAGCAAACCTCCCCCCCCCATAAAAAAGAATCTGAGTCCCGCTGTGGTCCATCGATCCCCTGGCCTGCCCAGTTATGGACAGGGAATGGGCCTGAGAGGGAAACTGAGTCTCAGCAAAAGAGACTTGCTAGGAGTTCCTTCATGGGTGTTAGGATAAAGCCCACCCCCCCCTCACCCTCTGGCCTGCACTGTGACCATTGTCCATCTGCTCAGACCAGCAAGGTGACATGGCTGAGTCAGGGAGACAGTGGCGTGTGACCCCCTTGGCCATACCTTCCTGGCCTTTCCTGCCACCAGCTGAGATTTAAAAATAAGCCAGAGGTGTTGGGGGGGGACGCTAATCTTATCACTTAACCTGTTATATTTAACACTTGAGCCAGAAGTCTGGCCAAAGCTGGCGGGGACTGTCAGCTCTGTCCCCTCCCTACCCTGCTTTTCCTTGACCGGAGCCAGGCCCCAGTGGGATCTTCTTCCATCTTTAGATCAACCAGGTTCTAGGGGGCTTTCTCTAGTTGTTTCTGTCGGAGGTCAGCCCTGGGCAAGCCCTGCCAGGAAGAACAGCACGCTTCGTGGGAGAACTTATTCTGAGACCCCCCCAAACTCAGACACCACCTCCTCCTGCCTTCTCTGCCAGCTTTTGGACAAACTTTCCTCTTTAGGACAATTATGGGGGTGATGGCTATGGAGCCCGGGGAAAGGGAATGTGGGGGGGAGTGTGGATTGCCAGGATCTCTTCTAATTTTCTAGTTATGTCCAGCAAGCATCAGAGTCGAATTATAGCAATTCTGCCTTTCCCTTCTCCTTCCCTTCCCCTTCAGCCTGTTTGACTAAGTTTCTTGGGAGACCAACATGTATGTGTGTGTGAGAGAGACAGAGAGCACTCATGCATGCCTACCACACCCCTGTGCACAAACTAGATTGCTGTGGGGACTCATCGGGCCAGACATCTTTATTTATTGATGTATTGTCTTTTCTTTTCTGGAACTGGGGAAATCAAACCCAGGACCTGACACTTGCTAGGCAAGTGCTTTGCCACCGAGCTACCTCCCAGCCCTCATTTTGTTGTTAGTGGTGGTGGTCGGTCGTGGGGCCTTGAACTTGGGGCCTGGGCGCTGTCCCTCAGCTCTTCAGCTCAAGGTGAGCGCTCTACCACTTGAGCCACAGCACCACTTCCATCCAAGAGACCCTCAGGGAGGGGGGAAAGGGCGGAGTCTTTGGTAACATGGAGGCAACCCGGGGCCCTGGAGACTCTCTGGCTGAATTCTAGCCTCTTCGCCAGGAATCCCAGGCAGTGTCCCACAGCCCAGAGGCCTCTGTGGAGCCCAGGGCCCCCAGCCAGGTGTCCGAAACCATCTCCTCCTCCAAGATGGGGACCAATGGGCCTCAGGCAGACTGGCAACGGCGGTGGAACATGGCGCCCCGGGTCCCAGGTCCCAGCGAGGTAATGTTTGCCCTCATCCTGGAAGTCGTGGAGCGCGCACGCAGTGCTTGAACTAAAAGCCAGGCCAGCCATGTTCCCTGCGCATGCCCTGCCCGCGTTCACGGTCTGCATGGGAGATTCACAGACAAGGGCGTGAACACCTGAGCACCCCAGATCCCCTCACATTGTGGTGTCTGTGTTCCTGTCCCCGTTGCCAAATGTCCATCCCGTCCAGTCCTGTGGCTCCCGAGAACACCCGGGGAGATTGGAGAACAAGCTCTGATAGACATGGGTCGCCTGCCTTTGGAGCCATAACAGAGGGCCTACCAAGCCTACCATTGGAATTTGTTCTGGCCACAAAAGAACAAGAAGGAGGAAGAAAAGGAAGAGGAAGAGGAAGAAGAGGTGGTTTACTTTGAGTCAACTATACCACCCTTTCAGACTCTGGGAGCTTTTATATAACAAACTGCTCCTTCTGCCTCCCCCCCCCCCGCCCTCTCCCCCCAACAAAGCCAGAAGTTTTCAACAAAGAGAACTTGGAAGAGATCCCATCCTGTCCGCCTGAGCGTGGATTGGAGTTTGCAGCCTGGAAACATGGCAGCCTACTGCTCTGGTTCACCTACACCCAACCTAGAGATGTAGAGGAGGATGGAGAGGTGCCAGTGTCTCTGTCCTGGGCCCTGACCTTGCCCACACCTCCAATCTGGACTTGTGACATTCCCACTGTGAAACAAGCCCTCGGGGAAGTTCATCATAGTGGCCAAGTTTAGCATATGTGGGCCCAGGAAAATCACTCCCCCAAAGCATAGGCCAAGATCCTCTTTCTGGATTGGGGCGTGGGGGGGAGAGCTTGAAGCCAGAAGATACAAGCCGGGCACTGGTGGCTCACACCTGTCATCCTGGCTACTCAGGAGGCTGAGATCCGGAGGATCAAGGTTCAAAACCAGCCCCCCCGGGCCGGGGCAGAAAAGTCTGTGAGACTCTTATCACCAATGAACAACCAAGCCAGAAGTAGTAGAGGTGTGGCTCAAATGGTAGAGCGCCAGCCCTGAAGAGAAAAAAAATGAAGAGACAACACGAAGACCCTGAGCTCAAGACACAGTACTGACACACATGCTCGCGCATGGGCGCACACGTGCGTGCGCACACCCACATACATTAATGCGAGTGTCAAGCAGCAAATCCCTTTGGGGCCAGAAAGAGAAGGTTCCAGAGCTGTCTCAGTCTCCCCCAAGGTTCTACACACTGCATGCCAGCAAGGTCTGGCAAGACCTGCTGGGCTGGGCTTTGTTGTGTCTGACATGGGTATGTCTGTGTCTGTGTCTTGGTCCGGCTCCATTCTGGATGTGCTTTTGTCCCAGGTCTGTGTCTTATTCCTAAAGCCCAGAATCATGGCCCTCACAAGCCTGAGGCCCTAGCCTAGGCTCTGCGCTGATTGGCCCTCAGTAGCTCAAGCCCCAGCCTAACTCTCTGCTCTGATTGGCCCTCACCACTCTGGGGCACTAGCCAAGGCTCTATTCTGATTGGCCTTCAGAGCTCTGAGGCTCCTTAGCCTAGTCTCTGCTCTGATTGGCCCTCAGTAGCTCAGCCCCCAGCCTAGGCTCTGCTCTGATTGGCCCTCAGTAGCTCAGGCCGCACCCACTCCATCCTATTTCCTTGGGGCCTTCCCTGGGCGTGGAGTGGGGGGTGGGCCTGACCTTCCTTCTCCAGCCTCCGGGTTGAGGCTGGAGGCCAGCTCTCCACCCACAGCCTGTGGCCCCCCTCTCCCCTCCCCACAGAACCCCGAGGACAGCTTCTCAGAGGCGAGCACTGCAGACATGACCAACACGGCCGATCTCCTGGAGCAGATACCCGATCTTGGCGAGGATGTCAAGGACCCGGAGGCCTGTTTCACCGAAGGTACGGCCTCCTGCCCACCCGGAGGGGGTCAGCTCCTCCCAGCTGCCTGGAACCAGGGTTACCACCCCTCAAGACAGCAGCTCCATACTCAGGGTGTAGCTTTGCCCACAGGCAGCAGGGACTAAGTGACTCACCCACGCCAGGCCTCTCTGCAAAAGCATGAGGCAGGTGGGGCTTAGGGCTATGTTTGGGGTGGGGAGGGGCAACTGGGGACCATTTGCCATTTTTGCCCTCTCCATACCACAAACTGTAAAGATGCCAGGCGCCGGGGGCTCACACCAGCCATCCTAGCCACCCCGGAGGCTGAGATCCGAGGATCAAGGTTCGAAGCCAGCCAGCCCAGATGGGAAAGTCTGTGAGACTTGCCGCCCCCCCCCCACCCCGCATAGCTTCTCCACAGAAAAACTACAAGTGTCTGGTCCCTGCTGGACGTGGCCACACCTGTCCATCACACACTGGCCCCACCCACCACGGCCACTCTGTCCAATCAGCACAGCTTCTGCGCATCACTCCCTGAGCTGAGCCTGAACAGCGCCTGTCTCCCCCTCAGGCTGCATCCGGCGCTGTCCCTGCTGCGCGGTGGACATCACCCAGTCCCCGGGGAAGGTCTGGTGGCGACTTCGGAAGACGTGCTACCGCATCGTGGAGCACAGCTGGTTTGAGACGTTCATCATCTTCATGATCCTGCTCAGCAGCGGGGCCCTGGTACATCTCCTGGGGTTACCCACAGGGCTGGGGGCAGGAGAAGGCTAAAGGAGAGCAGGGCAGGGCAGGGAAGTCCCCAGGTCTGAAATTGGGGCTGAGCTGGGTGCTGGTGGCTCACCCCTGTCACCCTAGCTACTTGGGAGGCTTGAGATCTGAGGACTGAGGTTCAAAGCCAGCCTGGGCAGGAGAGTCGGTGAAACTGGAGCGATCAGGAAGCACTGCTGGAGGAAGAAGATGGGGCTGGATGGTAAAGGGGGTTTGTAGAGGCCAGGAGGAGCAGAGAGGCCTACCGGAGATGCTCTCATGTGGCGCCAGTGGCTCACGACCACCATCCTCGCTATTCAGAAGGCCGAGGTGTGGAGAACCACAGTTCAAAGCCAGCCCAAGCAGGAAAGCCAATGAAACTATCATCTACACTTAACCACTAGAAAACAACAAAAGCTGGAAGTGGCGCTGTGGCTCAAGTGGTAGAACGCTAGCCTTGAGCAAAAAGCTAAGGGACAGCGCCCAGCCCTGAGCTCAAGCTCAGTATTGGCACAAAGAAAGGAAGAGGAAGGGAGGGAGGGAGGGAGGAAAGGAAGGAAGGAAGGAAGGAAGGAAGGAAGGAAGGAAGGAAAAACTTGCTCTGCTTTCTCAGTCGCTCCAGTAGAACAAGGGACCCTCCCTGGAGAGGATTCTAGAAGGATCTGGTGAGCAGGTAGATGAGCGATGGAGAAGGCAGAATAAAGTGGAAAGGTTCCTGGCCTGAGGGAAGCAAGCACACTTATATTGCTTGTAGAACTCCTGAACCCCGGGGCTGGGAAGGTGGCTCAGCACCACATAAGAAAAAAAGCCGGAAGTGGCGCTGTGGCTCAAGTGGTAGAGTGCTAGCCTTGAGCTGAAGAGCTGAGGGACAGCGCCCAGGCCCAGAGTTCAGGCCCCATGACCGGACCCAAAAAAAAAAAAAAGAACTCCTGAACCCCAAGACGAGCAATAGCAAAAGACCACAGAGGAAGAAGCTCCATGCATCTAGCCGGGCCACCTCCTCCTCAGGACCAAGGGGGAGACTCTGAGTGCCATTTCTCAACCTCGGGATTTCTGGTCCCATTCCATACTTCTCCCCTGCCCTGTTCCATTCATTCATTCATTCATGCATCCATTCATCTATGTATAGGATCTCCTGTCCCACTGCACACTGCTCCCTTCCTGGTTTCATCCACCCGTCTATCTATCTATCTGTCATTGATTTGTCGGTCTGTCTACCTGTCTACCTACTATCTGTGTATCTGTCTACCTACCTATCTATCAATCATCTATTTGTCTGTCCACCAGTCTATGTATCTATCTACCTACCTATCTACCTATCTATCTACCCACCTATCAATTTATCATCTATCTATCTTATGTATCTAGCTACCTACCTATCTACCTACCTATCTTTTTATCTATCTATCTATCTTCTGGCTTTTCGCTATTTAATCGGGGATCAGCATCCTGAGGGTTTGTTCTGTCCAGACTGGCTTTCCATCACGATCCTCAAGTCTCAGCTTCTGGAGTCACCAGGATGACAGGGGTGGGGCACGGATGCCTGCTTCTCCTTTTCTTTCGTTTCCTTATGTATTCGTTTATTTATTGATTGATTCATTCATTTATTGTGCTTGGCTTTTCCATTCCAAACTGGCACTCTACCACCCAAGCCACTGCCAGTCCACTTCCAGTGTTTTTGTTGGTTCACTAGAGATAGAGCTTCACTGGACTGGCCTTCCCTTGTCTGGCCTCAAATTGTGATCCTCACATCTCAGCCTCCTAAAGTAGCCAGGCCGATGGGCATGAGCCACTAGCGCTGGGCCTCCATCTCTTGTTTCAGAGTGGGCCTGCAGCCACGATTTGTAGCCTGCCTGCTGTTCCCTGGTAGGCAGCCAGGGCCAAATCTCTGTCGGTTCGAATCTGGGGAGACCTTAACAATATGTTAGCAAGTTTTGTTTTGAAACAGCCACAAACAGGGGCCGCCAGATCCATTTCATCTCAGCTGAGCAAGAGAGGAAAAAAATAAATATAAATCTCAGCCTCCACCACAAGTGAGGAGGAGTTTTTTTTTGGCAAAGTAAAAGCTAATCAAGATAGACAGCCAAGCACTGTTGTTAAAAGACAATGATATATTGGGAAAAGAAGAGAGGGAAAAAAAAAGGAGTCAGAGTAGGTTATTTAAAGTTAGAAGCTCGTTGAACAGAAAGTAAATGATATTGCTTCCAAATTACTGAGAAAGGAAAAAAAGAAAACAGAGATTTTTTTAAATAGAGAAGAGCCAGGTACTGGTAGTTCAAACCTGTCATCCTAGCTATTCAGGAGGCTGAGCTCTGAGGATTGTGGTTCGAAGCCAGCCCAGGCCAAACATTCCTTATAAGAGTCTTATCTCCAATTATCCACTCAGATACCTAAAATGGAGTTGTGGCTCAGAGTGGCCGAATGCTAGCCTTGAACAAAAGAAGCTCAGGGCACCTAAGGCCCCGAGTTCAAGCCCCACAACTGACCAAAAAAAAAAAAAAGCCAAGCAAGAGCTTGAGGCCCCAGTGCCTGCACTACACACACACACACACACACGCACACACACACGCACACGCACACACACACACACACACACACACACACACACACACACACACTGGGAATGCCTGTGTAAAGCTCTGACAGATAAAGAAATGCAACTTTTTTTTTAAAACTAAATGAGAAACTCTCCAATTAACTTGTATCATTTTGATCCATTAGCAGTTAAGCACCTGAAACATTTTCATTCAAGTTAGGACTAAGAAACAGGCAGACCATTTAACTACTCACTAGCTATTGCTCATTAGCAGTAATCTCTAAGTACTGGGCAAGGCAATTAATCACAGTAATCCAACACACGGCGCAAACAGTGGGCCCATGGAAGAATTAAAGCCATGCAATCAGTTGAGTAGAAAAGCAAGGATGCAAAAAGTAATAGAAATGAGTCGGGCACCGGTGGCTCACGCCTGTCATCCTAACACTCTGGAGGCTGAGATCTGAGGATCGTGGTTCAAAGCCAGCCCGGGCAGGAAAGGCCGTGAGACTCTGATTTCCAATAAACCACCAGAAAACTAGAAGTGGTGCTGTGGCTCAAGTGGTAGAGCACCAGCCTTGAGCTGAAGAGCTGAGGAACAGTGCCCAGGCCCAGAGTTCAAACCTCACAACTGACAAAGAAAAAGAACATAAATGTGGCACTAGGGGTTGAACTTAGAACTTTTGGGCTTATGAGCCAGGCACTCTACCACTTTGTTTTGCTTGAATATTACCACATCCAATCCAAAAAAGGAAGGAATGGAAGGAGGGACAGAGGGAGGGAGGGAAGAATGCTCTACCACTTGTGCCATGCCCTTAATGCTTTTACTTTTGTTACTTTTTTTGGCAGACCTGGGGCTTGAACTCTAAGCCTGGGTGCTCAAGGCTGGTGCTCTACCACTTGCACCACAGCATCACTTCCAGTTTTTGAGTAGTTCATTGGAGATAAGAGTCTCATGGGGACTTTTTTTTTTTTTTCCGCCAGTCGTGGGGCCTGAACTCTGGGCCTGGGCGCTGTCCCTCAGCTCTTCAGCTCAAGGCGAGCACTCTACCACTTGAGCCACAGCGCCACTTCTGGCTTTTTCTGCTTATGTGTGCTGAGGAGTTGAACCCAGGCCTCATGCATGCAAGGCAAGCGCTCTACCACTGAGCCACCTTCCCAGCCCTCATGGGGACTTTTCTGCCCTGCTGGCTTTGAACCATGATCCTCAGATCTCAGCCTCCTGAGTAGCTAGGCTGACAGGCGGGAGCCACCAGCGCCTGGCTCTTTTGGTTCTTTCTTGAATAGGTTCTTGCTTTTCTTTGCTGAAGGATGCCTAAACTATGGTTACCTGTTTATGCTTCCCACATCACATTCAGCTTTTTATTGGCTGAAATGGAGAGTCCTGAACTTTCTCCCCAGGTTGGCCTCAGCAAATGGGCCTCCTGCCCTCAGCCTCCTGAGTCGCTAAGGTGACACTTGGGAGCCAGCAGGTGCTGCTGCTGAGTTTGAAAACCTATTTACAGCCTTCACCTGTACTGTCAGGAAGACCAGCGGCTTAGGCTGACACTCAGAAGCATTTTAGTTCAACCAGGAACATTTCTCAAGTACGGTTTGCCTGCCGGTACTGCTCACAAATACATAAATGATCTAAGAAGAAATGTGACATATTAGAAGAAGAGTAAAACTTTGCTAAGGAGTTCAAACAAAAGAAAAACAAGTAGAGGATGTATCAACAGGGGATCTGTTTCTAGGGTAACTGAGGATGAAATACAATCTGAACACACTTTGATCATATTCTTTTGGGGTTTTTTTTGGGGGGGTCCGGTTGTGGGGCCTGACCCTGGGCCTGGGCACTGTCCCTCAGCTCTTCAGCTCAAGGCTAGCGCTCTACCACTTGAGCCACAGCGCCACTTCCGGCTTTTTCTGCTTACGTGGTGCTGAGGATTCGAACCCAGGGCCTCAGGCATGCAAGGCAAGTGCTCTACCACTGAGCCACCTTCCCAGCCCAACTTTGATCATATTCTATATGAACCCACACCAGGCCACTTAAGCCACAACTCTACTTCTGGCTTTTTTTTGTTGTTGTTGTTTTTGCTTCTTCAACTGGAGATATAAGTCTCACGGGCTGTCCTGTTCTATTCAGGCTGGCTTTGAACCGTGATCCTCAGATCTCAGCCTTCTGAGTAGCTAGGATTAAAGGCTTGTGAGCCAACAACAAGCGAATAGATCTGAAGCCCATCCAAGCCAACAGAGCTGATCAAACAGACCTGGGCTTGAACCCACGGTCACATGCTCGTTAAGCAGCCGTGTTAATGCTGAGCCACACCTCCAGCCCTGTTTGGGGTTGACTTGTTTCCTTGCCAGCTGACGTTCTCTGTGTGTGCACTGCGTACTGGGGCTTGAACTCAGGGCCTCCTGCTCTTGCTGAACTCTTATCACTTGAGCCACACCACCCCTCCTGGCGTTTGGCCGGTCATTCGGAGATGAGCATCTCACAGATTTGTCTGCCCGGACTGAACCACGATCCTCCGGATCTCAACCTCTTGAGTAGCTAGGGTATACCGGCGTGAGCTGCCAGCTCACCAGCACCAGGCTTCTAGAAACACACAGCGCTCCAAGGCCACCTTGGGGAGTTGAATAATAACGTGTGCATTGTCCACGTGGCCCGGTGGCCCTGCGGGTCCCAGACACAGCATCCCACAGGTCCCCAGAGCCCGCTGCTGGCAGCAGCCCCCAGAGCCCTTGCTGACGTGCTCCGTTGCCTGGAAAGGGAGCCTGGGAACGGAGAAGTCAATGCAGGAGAGGAAGAAGAGGAAGGCTAAGACCCTGGGGAGCTGTGCTGATGGCCCAGGAATGCTTGTGGCAGGAGGAAGTGGGGAAAGATGTGGCGGGAAGGAGGAAGTGGGGGAAGGCCTGGCAGGAAGGAGGAAGTGGAGGAAATCTACAGCATCCAGTGCTTTGGAAACTGTTGTCTGTGGAGCTGAGGCTGGGACCCAGCGACTCCAGGGAACGGGGCAAAACCTCCTTGGCCCAGCTCCATCTTTGACTCCCAAGAATCCGTGGAGATTTGACTTCATCCAGCTCTGAGCTTCCTACGTTCCACATTTTACCATCCTTCATTTAAAGCTCTGGGTGGAGGCCAGCTCCCAGGGGTTTGGTGTGTTTCTTTAAATAGGTTGATTGTATAGGAAAACATAGATGGATGGATGGATGGATTTATTCATTTGGTTACCTGTGTGGGCTAATACTAGGACTTGAACTCAGGGCCCTGCATTCTTGCTTAGTGTTTTCCCTCAAGGCTTTGCTCTACTGCTTGAGCCACATCTCCACTTCCAGCTTCTCTAGTAGTTAAGTGGAGATAAGAGTCTCACTGACTTTACTGTGCAGGCTGGCTTTGAACCTTGATCCTCTGATCTCAGCCTCCTGAGTAGCTAGGGTAACAGGTATGAGGCACCAGCACCCAACTCTGTTTCCCAAGGAGAATAGAGCCAGGTACTGGTGGCTCACGCCTGCAATCCTAGCTACCCAGGAGGCTGAGATCTGAGGATCGCGGTTCAAAGCCAGCTTGGGCAGGAAAGTCCATGAGACTCTTATCTCCCATGAACCACCAGAAAGCCAGAAGTGGCGCTGTGGCTCAAGTGGTAGAGCGCTCATCTTGAGCTGAAGAGCTGAGGGACAGCGCCTAGGCCCAGAGTTCAGGCCCCATGACTGGCAAAAAAAAAAAGAGAGAGAGAGAAAAAGCCAGAAAAGAGGGGAGAGACAGAAAGAGCAATAGAGAAGGAAAATAGGAAATGGCAAGGTTCCCAAAGGTTCATGATCATGACACTGTCACCTAGAAGTGATTTCACTCCTTAATGGGAGGGGGAGGGGGAAGAGCCTTCTCCATGCTTGCTACCCCCCCCACCCGTGCATGCCCACCCCGCACCCCATCCCGTCCATGGGGGTCTGTGTGCCCCGCTCCCACAGTGCCCGGTGGTCAGTGTCCCCCTGTCCATCCGGCAGGCGTTCGAGGACATCTACCTGGAGGAGCGGAAGACGATCAAGGTGCTGCTGGAGTATGCCGACAAGATGTTCACCTACGTGTTTGTGTTGGAGATGTTGCTCAAGTGGGTGGCCTACGGCTTCAGGAAGTACTTCACCAACGCCTGGTGCTGGCTAGACTTCCTCATCGTGGACGTAAGTGTGCACGCAAGGCTAAGGACAGGCCACCTGGCTGAGCCGCAGGCCTCACACGATCCCACGACAGGGGCCTGGTCAGAGAGGAAGAGCCCCTCCCCCTCTCCCCGCCCCCCCCCGCCCCCCGTGTCCAGGTACCAGGGGCTCACGCCTGTCATCCCAGCCACTCAGGAGGCTGAGATCTGAGGATCGTGGCTTGAAACCAGCCCAGATAGGAAAGCCTGTTGGACTCTGATCTCCAATGAACCAGCCAAAACACTGCCAGAAGTGGCGCTGTGGCTCAAGTGGTAGAGCACCAACCAGCCTTGAGCCAAAAAGTGAAGGGACAGCACCCAGGCCCTGAGTTTAAGTCTCAGGACCAACAGGAAAGAGAGAAAAGAAAAGAAGGAAGGAAGGGAGAGAGAAGGGAGGGAGGGAGGGAGGGAGGGGAAGGAGGAGGAGGGGAGAATGGGAGGAAGAGGAAGGAAGGAAGGAAGAAAAGGAAGGAAAGAAGGAAGGGAGGAAGGAAGGAAAGAAGGAAGAGAGGAAGGAAAGAAGGGAGGGAGGGAGGGGAGGCTTTTCTTGAGAGTGCAGTAGAGGTGCGGAGGGCTTTTGCTTTGGACGACACGGTCCTCTGGGCAGGGGAGAAGGGCTCTGGCAGGGAGCCAGGGCGAGATGGTGACGTAGCCGGTCAGGAGCGTGGCCGGCAGCAGACAGCGTGAGAAATGTTTAGATAGCTGAGGGATTCTAAAGGCAGGGCCAACAGGAAATTCTCACGCATTAGACACAGCATATCAGAGACAGAAAATGAGAGACGATGTCCAGTCTTTAGCCCGGGACAGCTGCGAGATTAGGATCCCACTGCTGTGGAAAGGCCAAGGTGGATCGGGTGGTGTGAGCCTTTGCCAGGAACAGAGATGAAAAGGTGGTTGGTTGGTGACAGGGCATTGGGTGCCACAGGCCTGTCCTCCTAGCTGCTCAGGAGGCTGCGATCGGAGAATCGGGGTTCGAAGCCAGCCTGGGTAGGAAAGTCCATGAGACTCTGATCTCTTGTCAATCACCAGAAAACCAGAAATGGAGCTGTGGTTCAAATGGTAGAGTACTAGCCTTGAACAAAACAGCTCGGGGACAGCATCCAGGCTCTGAGTTCAAGCCCTAGGACTAGCCAAAAAAAAAAAAAAAAAAGAGGGAAAGAAAGAAAAGAAAAAAGGGAGGGAGGGAGGGAGGAAGAAAAAGCAAGCAGAGAACATGGCACCTTTGTGTTCCTACCCTAAAAGTCTCCTTTGGGCTCACTGGGTGTGAATGCCTCGAGTCTTGGATAATCTATCCTTTCCCCATGTAGTTTACCTCTAGCTTCCTCACATGAGAGAAAACATGGCATTTGTCTCTGAGCTTCGCTAACCTCACTTCACGTGACTTGTTCTGGGTCTGTCCATTTCCCTGAAAATGGCATTATTATATTCTTTCTGATGGCTGTGCAATATTCCACTGTGTAGAGGTGCCACGGTTTTTTAGATCCACTCACCGATTTGGGGGGGGGCAATCTGGGCTGCTTCCATAATCTGGCTATGGTGAAGTGCAGCAATGAACATGGTTGTGTAGATGTCTTTATGGTCTCCTGTCTCAATGTGGGTCAGGAACCCTGCCATCCCTCTCCACACCTCTTCCCTGCCCCCTTTCCTTTCCTCCCCAGGTGTCCCTGGTCAGCCTGGTGGCCAACACGCTGGGCTTTGCCGAGATGGGCCCCATCAAGTCGCTGAGGACGCTGCGTGCGCTGCGACCCCTCAGGGCCTTGTCGCGGTTTGAGGGGATGAGGGTAAGTCGGGGGGGGGCACCGCTGCCTCCCACCCAGGTTCACTCGGGAGGCCGAAACAGGCGTGAGCGTGGCCGGGAAGTATGGGAAGTGGCTGAGCTCCTGTTACCCCAGCTACGAGGGAAGAGGAGACTGGGGGAGGGGAAATTCCAAGCCAGCCTGGGTAGAGAAATCTGTGAGACTCCCATAGGGGTGTAGACTCATGCCTGAGCAAGACATGATACACTTCATCTCAATAAATAAACAGCACCGTGGCCTCACCACAGCCTGGAATAATTCTAGAGGCCCAGGAGGCAGAGATCCGAGCATGGAGGTACAATGCCCACTTCAGCAGATGACAAAAAAAAAAAAAACCACCTCAAACCTCTAGCAAAAATACAAGAAAAAAGGAAACAAAAGCATGTGTTTATGTGGGCATTTAATTTTTTTTTAAGTCAGGTGCCAGTGGCTCCCGCCTGCCATCCAAGCTACTCAGGAGGCTGAGATCTGAGGATCAGGGTTCAAAGCCAGCCTGGGCAGGAAAGTCTGTAGGACTTTTTTAAAAAATATCTTTAAACTTGTTTTTCTTAAGGTGATGTACAGAGGGGTCACCACGGGACTGTGTATCTTCCCTAAACTACCAGAAAAAAAACTGGTGTGGTGCTGTGGCTCAAGTGGTAGAGCACCAGCCTTGTGCAAAAGAAGCTCAGGGACAGCACCCAGGCCCTGAGTTCAAGCCCCAGGGACTGACACAGGAAGGAAGGGAAGGAATCCCAGTTTCTTGCAACCAGACAACACATGCTATTCCATTGCTCACCCGACACCAGAAGGCTCACTATTTGTCTGATGGCTTGGATCTTGCCTTTATCCACTCCCCCCCAACCCTGCACCCCAAGTTCTTGGCAGAAAGCCCACCCACAAGTGACTAATGGGCCTGAGTTAATGTCTCTGTGAGGGCCAGGACATTTGATTGCAGTGGGACACGCGGACATGCTAGATGCCAAGAATGCCTCTGATGTAGCCAAGCCGGGGAGCAGCCAAGGGCAAGCGCCTAGGGTTTCTCCCCACCACCCCCTGCCAGGCAGCTCGGGGCAGGGAGGCGGGGCCTGGAGAGCTGGGTGCCCAGCCTGCTCATATGTAAGGGAGGGAAGGAGAGAGGGAGGGAAGACAGAGAGATCATACAGACAGACAGAGATGGTAGAGATTATATAGATGATAGAGAGACAGAGAGAAAGATGATATAGACAGGCAGATGATATATAGACAGCATAGATCCATGTTAGAGAGAGGTGATATAAATAGACGATTCGTGATAGATGATATAGACTGATAGACAGAGATGAGAGGTTAGATGAGGATCGATTAGATAGATAGATGTGAGAGATAAATAATGGTGATTGACAAATAGATATAGACAGAGATAGATTAAGGTAGCTAAGGATAGATAGATTATAGAGATAGATAATACATAGATGTTACAAATAGATGATAATATATAAATAGATAGAGACAGATGATAGGTAGATAAAGGTAGATGGATAGATAGATGTTACATATAGATGATATAGGTTGATGATGATGATGATGATGATGATAGATAGATAGATAGATAGATAGATAGATAGATAGATAGATAGATAGATATAGGCCAACAGGTTGACAGAGATAAATGATGTAGATAAGGATAGATAGATGATAGAGGTAGAAGATAAATAGATAATGTTAGATAATATAGATAGATGACAATAGATATAGTCATCCAGATAGATATAGACAGAGATAGATGATAAAGATAGATGGATAAATGGATGGATAGCTAATTGATAGGTGATGGTGATGATAAAGATAGATGTTACATATAGATGATATAGATGATGATGATGATAGATAATCGATAGATAGATAGATAGAGAGTAGGTAGGTAGATAGATTGATGTTACATATAGATGATGATGATAGCTAGGAAGGTAGATAGGTAAGTAAATAGATAGATAGATAGATGTTATACATAGATGATATAGATGATGATAGATAGATAGATAGCTTGATGGATGGTTGACAATAGATAGATAGCTTGATGGATAGATAGATAGATTGACAGACAGACAGACAGGTAGATAGATAGATAGATAGATAGATAGATAGACAGACAGACAGACAGACAGACAGACAGATAGATGGATGGGTAAATAGGTAGGTAGATAGATAGACAGATAGATAGACACACAGACAGATAGACACACAGACAGACAGACAGATAGATAGCTGTATAGCTGGAGAGATAGATAGACAGACAGACAGACAGACAGATAGATAGATAGATAGACAGATAGACAGACAGACAGACAGACAGATAGATGGATGGGTAAATAGGTAGGTAGATAGATAGACACATAGATAGACACACAGACAGATAGACACACAGACAGACAGACAGATAGATAGCTGTATAGCTGAAGAGATAGATAGACAGACAGACAGACAGACAGACAGACAGACAGACAGATAGATAGATAGATAGAGTGGCAGGCAGGCGATTCTGGCCGCACACACAGGGGTACCCCATGTCCCCCCCCCGTAGGTGGTGGTCAATGCGCTGGTGGGCGCCATCCCCTCCATCATGAACGTCCTGCTCGTCTGCCTCATCTTCTGGCTCATCTTCAGCATCATGGGCGTGAACCTGTTCGCGGGCAAGTTCGGCCGCTGCATCAACCAGACGGAGGGCGACCTGCCACTCAACCACACGATCGTGAACAACAAGAGCGACTGCGAGGCCTTCAATGTGACCGGCGAGCTGTACTGGACCAAGGTCAAGGTCAACTTCGACAATGTGGGCGCTGGCTACCTGGCCCTGCTACAAGTGGTAAGTTCCAGAAAGGGGGACAAGAACGGGGACCAATGGGGCCATCTCAAACCCCACACAGGAATGGAGGAGCAGGCCGGCGCCGGTGGCTCACGCCTGTCATCCTAGCTACTCAGCAGGCTGAGCTCTGAGGATCGCAGTTCAAAGCCAGCCTGGGCAGGAAAGTTCATGAGGCTCTTATCTCCAATGAACCACCAGAAAACTGGAAGTGGCGCTGTGGTTCAAGTGGTAGAGTGCTTGCCTTGAGCAAAAGCAGCTCAGGAACAGCGCCCAAGCCCTGAGTTCAAGCCCCATGACCAACAAAAACAAAAACAAAATGGAAATGCCAAGCCAAGCTGGGTGCGGTGTCTCCTGCCCATGTCATCCTAGCTCCTGAGGAGGCTGAGATCTGAGGATCACAGTTTGAAGCCAACTCTGCCAGGAAAGTGCATGAGATTCTTCCCTTCCACGAACTAGCAAAAAGCCGGAAGTGAAGACGTGGCTCAGGTGGTAGAGGACCTCCTTGGGAACACAAAAGCTTAGAGACAGCACCCCTGGACATGAGTTCAAGCCCCAGTACTGGCACAAAAATAAATAAGTAAATAAAAGCTTGCTACTCACTCACTACAGGGTTTTCTAGAAGGGTCTTTAGCTCAGTTGCTCCCTCCCGTTCCCTCATTTCCTAACCCCAGACTTGCCCAGTTAGACAGGGGCTTCGTGTAGCTCTAGTGAGACAGATGGTTTAATCGTTTCTCTTGTGTCTTCTTTCCCTTCCAGGCAACTTTTAAAGGCTGGATGGACATCATGTACGCAGCGGTGGACTCCCGAGGGGTAGGAGACCATTCTTATTTCTTCTTGTTCATGTCAGCATCAAAGACTTGAACTCAGGACTGGGCTTTGTTCCCTGAGCATTTTGTTTTATAACTTGCTCAAGGCTGGTGCTCTACCACTTGAGCCACAGCTCTGCTTCTGACTTTTTCCTGGTTCATTAGAGATTTAAAAGTCTCACAGACTTTCCTGCCCCGGGCTGGCTTTGAACCACAATCCTCCAGATCTCAGCCTCCTGAGTCGCTAGGATGACAGGCATGAGACACGGGGAGGGGGGGTCCTCTGTTTCTTCACCGAATTCACTCCAGGAGAAATGGGGTGAAAGCAAGAGAGATGCAAATTGACTTCCCCCCCCCTCCATTTGACCAACCCCATGGTGCCAAGACCCAGGCTCCCAGGGCTGAATCCTGAATGCCATGCTAAACCCAGCAGGCCTTCTTCCCTCCCTTGCCTCTGTCCTCTCCCCGTCCCCCCCCGCCTCCGTCCTGTCCCCCACCTCCACTCCCCTTGACCTGTCCTCCTCTCACACAGTGCCCCCGGCTGGCTGACCGCCCCTCTTGACTTCTGTCCCTTAGTACGAAGAGCAGCCGCAGTGGGAATACAACCTGTACATGTACATCTACTTCGTGGTCTTCATCATCTTCGGCTCTTTCTTCACCCTGAACCTCTTCATTGGCGTCATCATCGACAACTTCAACCAACAGAAGAAAAAGATACGTAGACTGCACAGAACGTACACGATGCGTAGAATACGCAAAAGACATACACTGTGTAGATTATGTACAATGCATTGAGTTCACAGAATATGTTCGATACATAGAAGACATGCAGGATGAATACATACAGTATGAATGCATACAGTATGTAGAATATGTACAATACATAGAATGCATAGAACATGTACAATACATAGAGTACTTACAATACATAGAATATATTCAATACATAGAATATATACAATATATAGACCACATGCAATATGTAAAATACATTTACTAAGTAGAATATGCACAATGCATAGAATATATAATAGAATATATTCTATTATATATAATAGAATATATTATATATATTCTGTATATTGTATGTATTATACATATATAATAATACATACAATATACAGAATGAATAATACATACAATATACAGAATGCATTCAATATGTAGAATACATACAATGCATATGATACATAGAAAAATACACTCAATATGCAGAATATGTACAACAACACATAGAATTCATGGAAACACCAGCTCTACCTGGGTTGGGTTGGGTGGGTGGGGCAAGAAGTAGCAGACTTTCTGGCTTCAGGCTCACGGCCTTTCCTGCCCAGGCTGGCTTTGAACCATGATCCTCAGATCGCAGCCTCCTGAGTTCAGCTGGGATGGCAGGCAGCCTCTGGCATAGGTCATGTTATATTGAACGCAAACCAACATGACAGAAAGAGCCACCGGGCCCGGCCCAGCTGGGTAGACAAAGGGGAAGGGTGAAGGAACAATTGGTTTGGAAACCCTGAAGCCAGCTAGATCTCCAGGGATTTTTGGAAAGGCAGGTTTCGCTGAGAATGTTTGATGCAGTCTAAAGCGAGACAAAGCCCATCTTGATACAGAGTCTGCCCTGACACCCCCCCCCCATCCCAGAGGTCAATGAGAACCCTCAAAATGATATCAGTGTTGTCTCTCTGCACTTAGGAGGCCAAGACATCTTCATGACAGAAGAACAGAAGAAATATTACAACGCCATGAAAAAGCTGGGCTCCAAGAAACCCCAAAAGCCCATTCCTCGGCCCCTGGTGAGCCAGGCTCCCTGGAAGAACCGAGAGGGCTGTTCTTTTGGGGTGGGGGAGTTGGAACCTTAAGATTTCTCCCTCCTCCCTAGCCACATAGGCAGCCATCAGGGCCGCCTCATGATCCTTCAGCTTCAGTGAGAGGTATTCCAATGTCTGGCCTTCACACCAGGCTTCATCCTGACATGGATGGGGGGGGGGGGAGAAGGTGCAGATCCACGGAAGATGTATAGCCACAAGACACACCTGGTCCCTTGGGGTGCAGATTTTACCCAGCCCCACACCCATGCTTGTTTCTTTGCTTGTTTATTGCTAGTCCTGGGGCTTGAACTCAAGGCCTACCATGCTAACCCTTCACTTGTGGTTGGTTGTTTTGCCTAAGTCAACGCTGGCGCTCTACCACTTGAGTCACACCTCCACTTCTGGCTTTTTGCTGGTTCATTGAAGATAAGAGTCTCTCTCTCTCTCTCTCCCTCATCTCTTTCTCTCTCCCTCTCTGGTTTGTCAGTCTGAGCTGCCTTTGAAGTACAGTGCTCAGATTTGCCTTCTGAGTACCTAGGATGACAGGCGTGACCCACTGGTGCCTGGATCAGACCTGGTGTGTGTGTGAGAGAGAGTCAGAGAGACACAGAGAGACAGACACAGAGAGACAGAGAGAGTGTGTGTGTCTGGGGCTTAAACTCAGGGCCTGGGATTTTGTGCTTAAAGCTAGCACTCAAGTACTTGAGCCATAGAGCTCCACCTTGGCTTTTTTATAGCCAATTGCATGGATATGAGTCTCACAGACTTTCCTGCCTGGGCTGGCTTGGAACCTCGATCCTCAGATCTCACTCAGATCTCAGCCTCCCGAGTCCCTAGGGTGACAGGCCTGAGCCAGCGGCAGCTGCATTTACCATGAATGACATATCAATACTGTTTGAGTGCTGGTAAATCACTCCTATACTTGTAGTGACGCAGGAGGCTGAGATCCAAGGATCGAAGTTTGAAGCCAGCCTGGGCCACAGGGTCTGCGAGACTCTGATCTCCAAAGAGCCACCAAAAAGCCAGAAATGAGATGTGGCCCAAGTAGTAGAGCTCCATCCTTAAGCATCCTTAAGAGCTCCCAGGCCATGAGTTCAAGGCCCCAAACCAACACCTCCACACACACACACATACACCAATTCCACTGAGCAGAGTAAATTAAAAACAATTCCATCAAAAGAATAATGGAGTAGCTGGGAAGGTGGCCCAGTGGTAGAGTGCTTGCCTCGCATGCATGAAGCCCTGGGTTCCATTCCTCAGCACCACAGACACAGAAAAAGCTGGAAGGGGCGCTATGGCTAAAGTGGTAGAGTTCTAGCCTTGAGCAAAAAGCAGCTCAGGGACAGCGCCCAGGCCCTGAGTTCAAGTCCCAGGACTGGCAAAAATAAATAAGAATGGAGAAAACATATCAATCCAAGGGACTGATACCATTGCTAGAATTGACGTTTAACATTGACCTTGAGCCTTCAAGGTCATCCAGGAAATACCCATCCACGAGAGAGTATGAAGGGCATCGTCCCATCCAAATCTAGGGAAAGAAGACAGAGAGAGAAAAATCTTCAGAATTCAGGGAGAGCCAGGAAGAGGATAGGAACCTCGGAGCTGGGTCTCAAAATCCGGGGAGACGTTTAGGACCGGAAAAAAAAACAGATGTGAATCTAGGGGGGACATTGAGGCTGGAGGACCGGATGTGAGTCTGGGGGGAACGCTGGGGGAGGAGGACCTCTTCAGTGAACGTGAGTCACTTGGGTGCTGGCCTGGTGGCCCAGGGAAGGCCAAGGGGCGATGGCCTGCCCAGCCCAGGCCCCGGGCCAAGCCCCACGACCTCCTTCCTCCTGGCAGAACAAGTACCAGGGCTTCCTGTTCGACATCGTGACCAAGCAGGCCTTCGACGTCACCATCATGTTCCTCATCTGCCTCAACATGGTCACCATGATGGTGGAGACGGACGACCAGAGCCCCGAGAAGGTCAGCATCCTCGCCAAGATCAACCTGCTCTTCGTGGCCATCTTCACGGGCGAGTGCTTTGTCAAGATGGCCGCCCTGAGACATTACTACTTCACCAACAGTTGGAACATCTTCGACTTCGTGGTGGTCATCCTCTCCATCGTGGGTGAGCGGGTGTGCCGGCCCCAGCTGCGCGGAGAGGCCGACCACCCGGCCGGGCCTGCTTCCCACCCTCGGGCCTATGGGGAGGCCCTGGAATGCCCCCTCTCCCTCCCTCCCTCCCTCCCTCCAGCACCCCCCTCCCTCTCCCGCCCTCCCTTCCCCTCCCTCTCTCTCTTCCCTTGTCTCTCTCTCTCTCTTTACTGGGGTTTAAACACAGCTCCCTGGTTACCCTACCGCTTAACCACACTCCCCGCTGTGCTATTTGCTGGGCCTGGGCGCTGTCCCTCAGCTCTTCAGCTCAAGGCTAGCGCTCTACCACTTGAGCCACAGCACCACTTCCGGCTTTTTTCTGTTTGCTTCTGTGGTGCTGAGGAATGGAACCCAGGGCCTCAGGCATGCAAGGCAAGCGCTCTACCACTGAGACACCTTCCCAGCCCCATGATCCTACCTCTTTTTGAAAGAGGGAGACGTGACTGAGGTATCTTCTAGAGGCAGCAGAGATTTTGTTGGTGTTGTTGTTTTAACATTTCCACAAACTCCCGAATCCACGACTTAGAATAATGAACTGGAAAGCCTTGAGCAAGGCTGATGCGCTGCTAACCAACTACCTTTGGTCTCAGACGCCACTCAGCCATACCAGCTATGTTAGGAATGCCTGTAATCCTAGCTACGCAGGAGGCTGAAGATCTGAGGATCACAGTTCAAAGCCAGCCCGGGGCAGGAAAGGCTGTGAGACTCTCACCTCCCATGAACCACCATGAAAACCCAAAGTGGCGCTGTGGCTCAAGTGGTAGAGCACCAGCCTTGAGCTGAAGAGCTGAGGGACAGCGCCCAGGCCCTGAGTTCGAGTCCCACAACCAATAAAAAAGAAAGGTGGTGAGAGGTAGTGCTAACACACCCGTCCCTCCCAGGGGTGCCTCATCTCCCCGGATCCTCTCTGGGTGGAGGGGGCCAGTGCTGGCCTGGGAAGCGTAGCGATATTCTTACCGTCCGCCATGCTCTCTGCCATTCTCATAGGCACCGTGCTGTCCGACATCATCCAGAAGTATTTCTTCTCCCCTACGCTCTTCCGGGTCATCCGCCTGGCCCGCATCGGCCGCATCCTCCGGCTCATCCGGGGTGCCAAGGGCATCCGCACCCTGCTCTTCGCCCTCATGATGTCCCTCCCGGCCCTCTTCAACATCGGCCTGCTGCTCTTCCTCGTCATGTTCATCTACTCCATCTTCGGCATGGCCAACTTCGCTTACGTCAAGTGGGAGGCGGGCATCGACGACATGTTTAACTTCCAGACGTTCGCCAACAGCATGCTGTGCCTCTTCCAGATCACCACCTCGGCCGGCTGGGACGGCCTCCTCAGTCCCATCCTCAACACCGGGCCTCCCTACTGCGACCCCGATCTGCCCAGTGGCAACGGCTCCCGGGGGAACTGTGGGAGCCCGGCCGTGGGCATCCTGTTCTTCACCACCTACATCATCATCTCCTTCCTCATCGTGGTCAACATGTACATCGCCATCATCCTGGAGAACTTCAGCGTGGCCACGGAGGAGAGCACCGAGCCCCTCAGCGAGGACGACTTCGACATGTTCTACGAGATCTGGGAGAAGTTCGACCCCGAGGCCACGCAGTTCATCGAGTACGCCGCCCTGTCCGACTTCGCCGACGCCCTGTCCGAGCCCCTGCGCCTCGCCAAACCCAACCAGATCAGCCTCATCCACATGGACCTGCCCATGGTGAGCGGAGACCGCATCCACTGCATGGATATCCTCTTCGCCTTCACCAAAAGGGTGCTGGGTGAATCCGGGGAAATGGACGCCCTGAAGATCCAGATGGAGGAGAAGTTCATGGCGGCCAACCCGTCCAAGATCTCCTACGAGCCCATCACCACCACGCTGCGGCGCAAGCACGAGGAGGTGTCGGCCACGGTCATCCAGCGCGCCTTCCGGAGACACCTGCTCCAGCGCTCCGTGAAGCACGCCTCCTTCCTCTTCCGACGGCAGACCTGCAGCAGCGGCAGCGACGGGGGGCTCTCCCAAGAGGACGCCCCAGAAAGAGAAGGCCTCATCGCCTACATGATGACTCAGAACTTCTCCCGGCCCAATGGCGGGAGTGATGGGGGCCCTCCCTCCAGCTCCTCCATCTCTTCCACCTCCTTCCCGCCATCCTACGACAGTGTCACCCGGGCCACCAGCGACAACCTCCAAGCCAGGGTGTCCGACTACAGTCGGAGCGAAGACCTGGCAGATTTCCCCCCGTCCCCAGACAGGGACCGCGAATCTATCGTGTGACCCCGGGACTTGGCGTAGTGGTGAAAAAACGGGAACGAGGGCAAAACCAGCCTCACGTGGCTGGGCCTTCCTGGCTTCGGGGAAGGGGGAGCTAGCTGGGGTTTCAGGGGGGAGGGAGGAGAGCTGGGTCCCCAGCGCCCTCCCCCCAAAATCCACCGGGCACAGTTCTGTGGCAGGGAGAGTCACAAGTGGAGCTGAAATTGGCGCCCTGCTCCCCACCCCCACCCCACTCCTCACCCCCAGAATTCACGGGGGGGGCCTCTCTCTGGAGAGGGGGGAGGGTCACCCCACACATCCTAGGGCCTGGTCTCGTCCAGTAACTTCCTGGGGTGCACGGGATTCGGGAGGGCAGGGGGAAGGCGATCTAAAGCAGGAAACTCCATCCCAGGTGCCACCGCCCCGTTGAACCCTAAAAACAGAGACTTTGTCCGTGTGACTGGGCTTTCATATTATATTTGATATTTTTTTACTGGAGCAGAGAAGACAAACTTTTTCTCCCTCTCCCCCCCACGCCTGCCCCCCAGTCTCAGCGATTCACGCTGTTCTCAACCCCAAACTTCTGGAGCTCAAAGCACAGCGGGTCCAGGCGCTGGTGGCTCGCGCCTGTCATCCTAGCTACTCAAAGCGAGTGAGATCTGAGGATCCTGGTTCAAAGCCAGCCCTGGGTAGGAACGTGTCTGTGAGACTGTGTCCAGTGGGTGGCGGGGGGGGGGGGAACCACACAGGGAAGCAGGTGGCTTAAGGGGTCAAACACCCAGCTTTGAATGACAAGCAAGCACAAGCCTCCCCCCCCCAGAGCTCAAGCCCCAGTCACTGGCACCCAGTGAAGACAATGTGGGGTCCAGTGGGGCTCCCAAAGACCTTCATGGAGGGACGGGGCTCCCGGGCGGCAGGAGCTGAAGTGAGGGGGAGGAAACAAAGCCTCTTGCTCACACACATGCACACACACGCGTGTGCACACACACTGAACACACCAAGGCCAGACACAGACTCCCCTCAGGCCTCCTCAAAGGGAGACGGGCTTTCCTCATTAGCTTCCAAGGGCAGAATCTCAGCAGGACTTACCTGTAGCCATCTATGGACTTCCCTGGGGTCAGCCCTACACACAGGAAAGGCTTCCAGGGAAAACAGCCCCAAGGCCCCATGGCTGGCCTCCAAGCCGAGGCATGGCCTGAACTTCCCTGGCTCGAGTATTAGCCTGACATGCCAAGGCTGAGAGACCCTGGTCTACTCCCTGGCTGCAGAGAGCTTCTCTTCGCCCATGGGGCCAAGGGAAGACTCAATTTTGCAGCTGGAGAGTGGACAGATTCACGCCTGTCACCCTAGCTACTCAGGAGGCTGAGATCTGAGGATCGCAGTTCAAAGCCAGCCTGGGCAGGAAAGTCCGTGAGACTTGCATCTCCAGTGAACCACCAGGAGACCGGAAGTGGCGCCATATATACGGCTCAAAGTGGTAGAGCGCCAGCCTTGAGCAGAAGAGCTCAGGGGCCATGCCCAGGCCCTGAGTTCAAGTCCCAAGACCGACAGAAGAGAAGAGTAGCTTTTCCATGCTGTAGGGGTGAGGGGCTCACCTTGAACTCGGCCCAGCTGCAATCACACATGCCATGGCTCTCCACTGGGTGTTTCCTGCAGAACATGGCAAGGGTGAAGAGGGCAGGTAGCTCGCCACTAACCCTGGCAATGGCTGCTCACTTTTTCTCTCCGCACAGAAGAGGATAATATGCTGCAAGTGATGGACAGTGTGTGGCTGGTGGCAGACTTTCCCCCGGGGAGGATGGAATCCAGGGCTGTCTCCGTGGAGTTGTTTTTTTTTTTTTTCAGGGAAAAAAAAAAAAAAACATCCTTTTACTAGTCTGACCTTCCTTCCCACCATCCCTTTCGACTGAGTCCGACTCTCCTTCCCGCCATCACTTTCGACTGCTGACAATCTTGGTTCACATATGCAAACACTGGAGCGATGGATGGACGGACGGGGCTGAGCCTGAGCAGGAGGAGCTCAGAGACTCTCCACACCTCCACCCTGCATCACCTCACCCCCACCCAAGCACCTCAGTCCCTCCCCTACCCACGCCAGGCCTCCGCTGCCCCTAACCTACCTCGCCCCGCTGTCCAAGGGGCTGGACAAGGGCACGTTTGACGTGAGGCCCGGGGCAGGGCCAAGGAGGGGCATGCGGCTGGCAAGTCAAGTATTAATGTCTCTTGTCAACCCCGATCCTCTTCTGGGGAGGGCCCACGTTCCCGCCCTCCATTCCACCCCACCCCTGCCTTTCCTTCCTTCCTTTTCTTTGTTCCCAACCGTCCAGTGTGACATTCTCTCCAAGTGGAAATCTTATTTTTGTAGATCTGGGCTTTGGTTCTCCATACCCCCCCCCACCTCCAAGGCTTGGAGAAGGTGGATCCTGGGTCCCTGGCATCTTCTAGGCCATGTAGGGGGGGGTGCTGTGGCAGGTCAGGCCACCGGAAGGGGCGGACAGCAATGAATGTGTGGACAGGCCAGGGGCCAGGGCACGCAGCTGTCCCCGGCTGGCTGTAGATGAATGGCCGAGAGCGGGGACCTGTGCCAGGCCCAATTCCTTCGCCCCGTGTGACTTTTGATTTATTTTTCTAGAACTTCACCAGGATCCACAGAAGGGGAGAAGAAAACAGAGCCATGGGGGGAAGGGGGTAAAGGGGAGCAGTGGGGGACAGAGCACCCCGGTGCCAGGCATTACCTGAGCTATGTGTGAACACTTCCCAGCAAGCGTGTGTATGAAATAAAAATACATATTTTTAAAACAAACCAATAAATGGCTTCCATGATGTGGGTTGTGTTTTTTGGGGGTTTTTTTTTGGTGGGTTTGTGTGTGTGTCTGTCTGTCTGTGTGTTTGCCTTGAGACTTGGCCTCAAAACTTGGTATCTGATGCTTTGGTTTGGTGGCTGGCATGTTACCACCTGAGCCATGCCTCCAGCCCCGTGTTTTGGTTTTGTGCCAGTCCTGGGGCTTGAACTCAAGGCCTGGGCACCGTCCCTGAGCTGCTTTTTGCTCAAAGCTAGCGCTCCATCACTTGAGCCACACAGCACCACTTCTGGTTTTCTGGGTGGTTCCTTGGAAATAAGAGTCTCCCAGCCTTTCCCGCCCAGGGCTGGCTTTGAACTGCAAGCCTCAGATCTCTTCCTCCCGAGTGGCTGTGATGACAGGCGTAAGCCACCAATGCCCTGGCTTCTCCGCTGGTCTTGAAGCCAGGGCTGGGGGCTGGGGGTGAGGGGGCCTTCCCAGAGCTTTGGACCGGCCCTGTGTCAGGCGGGGAGGCGGTGTGAGATGAGGCCCAGGAGGAGGCTCTGAGCGAGCAAGTGATCGAGCAGACGCCTGCCCTGCCGTAATACTACAGCTGTCCCCTGCCAGGCGGGTGACTGTGAGTGACGGATGTGGGCTCTTGGGTTACAGATAAGGCATGCAGGCCAGGATCCGAGGCCTTGGCACAGCGAGAGAGAGGGAGCAGGCTCAGGACAGACGTCAGGTCTCGCCCTGAGCCTGCAGCCTTGGCATGCCCTCCCCCCCCCCCCCCGCGCCCCGCATGTGCGTGACAGCAACTTCTCCAACATCAGCTCGGCCAGCCACGGGACTCGGTGCCCTGGAGGCTGGGGAGGACGGGGCAGGGAGGGGAGGGGTTCCCACAGAGGCCTTAAAAGGCAACTTTAACCCAGGGGCCCCTCAACAAAGTCAGCCATGGCCCCCTCCCCCGAAAGACTAACGCATTTCCACGCTACTCCTGGAGGCTGAAAGAGGAGGATCGCGGTTCGAAGCCGACCCAGGAAGGGAAGTCTGTGAGACTCTCTCCCGCTTCCAATGAGCCAAGAGGTAGAACTGGGGCTCAAGCTGCTGAGCACCAGCCAGCCTGGAGAGAGACATTGTTTACACCCCGCCCTGGATGTGGCGATGTATGTTCCCACATACACGTGTGTGCAGCCAGGCAAGGCGTGTCTGTGTGAGAAAAGTCTCTTCATTATTCTGCTGGGCCAGGCCCCTGCCTGGGGTGAGAGGAGCCTCCATCCCAGTGTGTTGTGGAGAGACCAGCGGCTCGGGTCGCTGGGATTACAGGCGTCTGCGACTACACCCAGCCGTCTGAGGAGCTCCAGGCCAGAAGAACCAACCACACTCAGGGTCATGCGGCCCTGGAAGGCGTGCATGTGGTCTCTGGTATTATGTCCCGACCGTTCACACTCTTCAGCCTCCCATGCCAGACAGGAGGCAGCGAGGAAAGCCAGTAAACCGGGGGGAGTGGAATGAATGGTTATGCACACTGATTCTCCCAGGCCGGGCTGCGCATGCGTGCTCTCCCTCCCCCGCATCCCCCCCCTCCCCTGCCATCTGGATTACAGGTCCTGGAAGATGGGGAAAAGCCACCCCGTGTGGCCCATGGGCAGGGGAGGTTGGGGGGCCGGGAGGGGGGCCACAGTGGCTTCAGTAGCTTCTTGGGCCACATAATAATAATAATAATAAACGTGACATTGAGATTGTCTCTCGCTTTCCCTCTGTCCCAAGTCCCACCCGCTGCTCTGTATGTGTGTGTGTGACTTGAACTCAGAGCCTTGAGCCTTCCCCCTTAGCCTTTCCACTCAACACTGGCGCTCTACCACTTGGGCCACAGCTCTCCATCTAGGTTTTGGATGGTTTGTTGGAGATCAGAGTCTCACTGAACCACCATCCTCCAGATCTCAGCCTCCCAAGTGGCTGGGATGGCAGGCGTGAGCTGCGGGTGCTGGTAGGCCATATTTGCACACACACACACACACACCGTCATCATCATCACCATCATCATCATCATCATCTGAAGTGCTTTTTCCAGGTGGAAATGGCCTCAGTGCCCATGTCCTTAGACTGTGCTATGTTTAAAAAAGAAAGACGTTCTGGTTAATTATCTTTGTCTTCGGGCGTTCACACTCAGGGGTCAGGGAGCTGTCTGCGGTGGCGAGCACAGCACAGAGACCGGAGAGACCGAGAGACCAGGTTCCCACAGCTGGAATGCCTCAAAGAATGCCAAGCCCGAAAGGGGAGATGAGGTCAGGACCAAGAGATAAAGGAACAAAGACAAGGCAGGGCACGTCCAGAAAGCCAGTGGAGGGCTGAGGTGACATCGCTCTTTTGCCTTAGTAGCCTAAGCTTTATTTTTGTGCCAGTGTTGGGACTTGAACTCAGGGCCTGGGCGCTGTCCCTGAGCTCTTTGTGTTCAAGGCTGGCGCTTCTACCACTTTGAGCCATATGGATGGTACCACTTGTGGTTTTCTGATGGTTCATTGGAGGTGAGAGTCTCCCCGATTTTCCTGCCCTGGGCTGGATTAGAACTGCGATCCTCCGGATCTCAGCCTCCTGAGAAGCTGGGATGACAGGATTGAGCCACTGGGCCCGGCTCCTACACTATACTAACTGTCCACTCCATCACACCCAAGGGAACAATAAGAACTAGAAGCAGACAGGCACGGGTGGCTCACGCCTATCATCCCAGCTACTCAGGAGGCTGAGATCCGGAGGATCGTGGTTCTAAAGTCCATGAGACTCTCATCTCCCATGAACCACCAGAAAACCAGAAGTGGCGCCATCTATATAGGGCTCAAAGTGGTAGAGCGCCAGCCTTGAGCACCAAGAGCTCAGGGACAGCGCCTAAGCCCTGGGTTCAAGCCCCAGGAGCAGCAAAATAAAAAAACAAACAAGAAGGCCTGGATGTACAGAGCGTGCATAGCCGCCAGGTTCAGATACAGGCCTGAGTTTGGGGACGGGGCGGGGGTGGGGGAGGTCATCCACCCGCTGGCTCGGGTCTGACAGGAAGATGGGGTGCGGGGGAAGAGAAGCTGACATCTGAACTCAGGACTTAAGTGGGTGCTCACCACGGCTGGGTCCTCGCCAAACAGCCTGTCAGAGGTGGCCGTGGCTCACACCCGCTTATCAGTGCCGGGTGTGGAGAGGGTGTCTCGGACGAGAGATAGGGCCGGGACACGGCTGTCCGCAGCGCCCCCTCCCCCTCCCTCCCCCCTCCTCAGAGGCTTGAGTGGAAAAGCCAAGTAAGATCACAAGGCCCCGAGTTCAAGAACGCACCAGTACCAGCACACACAGGAAAGTGAAATATCAAGTCCTTTATCACTGCTTTCAAGTAAATTACTTGTGTGTGTGTGTGTGTCTGTGGTGTGTTGTGTGTGTGTGTGTGTGTGTGTATGGGTCAGTACTGAGGCTTACACACAAGGCCTGGGCGCTGTCCCTGAGCTCTTTTGCTCAAGGCTGGCGCTCTACCACTTGAGCCACAGCACCACTTCTGGTTTTTTGTGGTTCACTGGAGATCAGAATCTCACGGACTTTCCTGCTGCCCGGGGCTGGCCTCAAATTGTGATCCTCTAGAACTCAGCCTCCTCCTGAGTCGCTAGGAATCCTTTTAGCTTTTTCATTCAGACGGGAGCTCTACCAGTTGAGCCATAGCTCCATTTCCAGCTTCGTTGGAGACAATCTCTTGGATTTCTCTCCCCGGCCTGGCTTGGAACCGGGATCCTCAGATCTCAGCCTCCCAAGTAGTCAGGAGCCATGGCAGTTAGCAACGAACTACCTCTGAAGGATTCAAACACAAAAATAAAGCAGGTGAGCAAAAGCACTAAATGGCAAGCACTTTGCTCTTCTTTCAACTGTGCTGTAGGGTTCAAATCTCAAAATAAAAATTGGAGGGTTGGGTGCTGGTGGCTCACGCCTGTCATCCCAACTGAGATCGAAGGATGGCCGATCAAAGCCAGCCCAGGGCAGGAAAGTCTGTGAGACTCTTATTTCCAAAGAACCACCAGAAACCTGGAAGTGGTGCTCAAGTGATAGAGCTAGCCTTGAGCAAAAGCAGCTCAGGGACAGCACCCAGGTCCTGAGTTCAAGTCTCACCAGACCCCTCTTCCCCACAACGAAAGAAAAACCTGGGGGAATTGCAGCTACAAGCTGTGAGGGTCTGAGGATCACCACATTCTTATTAAAGAAAACTGTCACCCTGATGCCTGTGATTAGATAGTTCACAGCGCCCCCCAGTGGCCGCTCAGGGCTGAACAGCTCCCGGGTGACAAAGGTAAATACAGGGTTTCACAGGGCTGGGAAGGTGGCTCAGTGGTAAAGTGCTTGCCTCGCATGCATGAAGCCCCGAGGTCGATTCCTCAGTACCACAGACACAGAAAAAGCCAAAAGTGGTGCTGTGACTCAAGTGGTAGAGCGCTCACCTTGAGCTGAAGAGCTGAGGGACAGCGCCCAGGCCCCAAGTTCAAGTCTCAGGACTGGCAAAAAAAAAAGCATCTCAAAGCCAAGTCCTGGGGAACCCCCATTTCAACATGCAGTTCATCTCCCTCCTGACCCCCATCTGACCATCGCAGGGTTGGTTTGAGACAAGGGAAAAGGAATACTAGCCCGGCACTGGTGGCTCATGGCTGTGTCATCCCAGTGACTCAGGAGGATCTCAGGTCAAATTCAGCCCTGGGCAGAAAAGTCTGTGAGACTCTGATCTACAATCAACCACCAGAAAACCAGAAGTGGCGCCGTATATACAGCTCAAAGTGGCAGAGCTCCAGCCTTGAGCAAATGAAGCTCAGGGACAGTGCCCAGGCCCTGAGTTCAAGTCCGATGGAGAAGGGGGG